CCACCCCAATCCCTTAATATAATTTTTGATAAGCCACATGTCAATGTAAAAGAACATTTAATGCCCTACACCATGACGAGAAACCCTAGAAGATATCTTTGATGGTCACTGTGTGGCAGCCGTTAGAAGACAGTGACTAGAACAACAAAAGTTGCAAAGTTAATGAAAAAAACAAAGTTGAAATAATGACGATGACGTAGGCCTTTGGAACGTCTGGCAAGTGAACTCTTTGGAGCTTGCTACAAGTGTTCCTGGCACAACTACACTGACGTCATAGAAACAGGGTCAGTAGATGTCCAGGCATGAGCTGTGTCGGATGTTTGTGAGACAGTCTTTTCTCCTCCTATATCTTCACTTTTTTGTTTGGTGGGGGATGGGGGCTAAAATGTAGACGTCATGTTCCCGGGTCTATTTGGTCTTCTCTGTTTGGCTCGTTCCCAGAAACTGCGCTGATCCTGACGCGAGAGAGAGGCGTGGAGCCGTCCAACATCGCGGAGATCCGGACCAAGCTGGGCCGATGTGGCATCAACGTGAGCTTACTCCGGCCCGTGGACCAGACCGGATGTGACGACTGAGGCTCTCGTGGACAACGTGTGGACCAGACCGGATGTGATGCCTGATGCTCTCGTGGACGACGAGTGGACATAGCCACAATGACAACACTGCACAGAACACTGCACAGAACACTGCACACCCGCGTATCTTTGATAATTTAGGACATAGAGGACACCCGCTTATCTGGAGAATTTATGACAACGAGAAGAAGTCGAGTCGAGATTTTTAGCAATGGATATCATCTCTTTCGAGCTTGGCATGGTCAACACTAGAACAATAAAAGTTATCCATTTCAAGAAGTTAGTCTTGGGATGACCTTACACTGCAATGACACCTCACCTTTACTTGTGTTTCTTCCACTGGTGTCAGTTGTTGGCGTACAAGACAGTTTCTCTCTTTCACGACATCCTTGAACAAATTCAGACAGATATTTTTATCTGTGAAACTTCTACTCCAAACACTGTTGGTAGAGAGAGAGAGAGAGAGAGAGAGAGAGAGAGAGT